GTCTGGCCCGGGACAGCCCCGGCCGCCCCTCACAGAGGCAACACCTGAGCACCAACACCCCAGTACAATCATGTATTTCCCATTTTTTTTAATTGAGTACAGAATTGGGCAAAATGTTGTGGGTTTCAACTTGTGAAAAACAACATATGCTTTTACTGTGATGCTGTTAGTAACAAATTTTGACTTCAGACCTACAAGGATACTAATGAATATTTTGTATTTTATTTGGGATATAAGCTGTAAATGGATGAGCACCAACTTGGGAAACACTGCCTGAAGTGAGCAGTTTGTATCCAGAGAGCACGTAGGCGTCTGTAAGATCAGCTTTGATACGCCATTTCAACAGTAGTTCCATGCGGATGGATTTTTCTTGAATTTTCTCCTATGAAAGGAGAGGTGTCTCTAATACTACTTAATGGTAGGGTTTTATTTCTGGAGGCCTCTTTTTTTTTTTTTTTTTTTTTTTTTAACATGTGCTTACTTTTCCACTTTTCCTGTCCATATCTGGCCCTCCACTTGACGCCCATCTCCAGCAGCCAGAAGGGGGATGTTCTCTGTTTAGCCAGTCAATGCATACGTCCGATTGCGGCTTAAGAGCGGTGCCATGAGCTCCTTCCTTCTCCCCAGGGCTGAGCGTGTGTTGTCCACCTGCCACACTCCCATCAACCCAGCAGACAAGGGCCCAGTTCTGTTGGGTGCATAACAGTGTGTTGCTCTAATGCTAATGAGAACAAAATCAGTCTTGCCCCGTGGAATGTGGCGAAGGACAGTGAAAAGGAAGATGATCAGATAAAACAGCGTTTCAGTTGTGTTGGACCTGTGCATGCTGTCTGCTTTTCCAACCAATCTGGAAACAAACATTGATTTAACTTGGGTCTCTGCTTTTGTCTGTCCGTCCCCGTCATTTCCTTTCCTGTTTTCCAGCCATCTTCAGTTCCTTTCACCTCTGTCACACGCTACCCGTTAACTACATCATACTACTACTCCTCAACTGTGTAATACCACTTCTATTCACATTCTCCTTATCTCACAAAATGTTTAGAGTGGGTTTACTACTAAGATGGAATCAGGATTTTATTGTGACAGAGGTGTTTTATTGTCATTCTTGCTTTGTATTTTGCACCAATAGGAAGCAGTTCAGTAAGTGGAGACTTGCAGGAATAGAATGGGATTCTCATCGTTAAGGAAATTTAATACTACTCTGGAAAGATGGATTCTATCTTTTTTGGATAGTGTATTTCAGGTCACTTAAAGAATTTGTAAAAGTGCGGCTTAACAGAGTTTGCTGGTAAGGTTCACTCTGTTACTACACAAAGGAAATATACAAGATCGAGTTAGAATCAATTTGGAATGATTTGCACAGATCTTGGAGATGTGAAAAGGTAAGAGGGACCCTCCCATTGAGTCATGAGGTTCAGAATGGATCTCCTTGCTTTCTAAACTCCTCAGAGAGAAGTCTAGGTGCAGCTAAATCCACTCCTAGTCCCAGACTTGGTCAAGGGTTTAAGTCTAAAGAGTTATATGTGTTTGTGGCTGAGGGATTGTATGTGTTTATGGCCAAAGAGTTATATGTATTCACTTAATCCTTTATATTATTTAGCTGATATTTCAAAGTTTACTCACAATTCACTTGCCTTTCATCCAGGCATCTAGTGGTAGTTCATTCTGAAGTTAAAATCCTAGGTTTCCTGAAGCAGGCTCTCAGGCACCGGATTTTATAAAAATAGATAATTTAATAGAGTGGTACAGCAGCAGGGTCACCTCCAGCAAGGAGTCCCCCAAAGGGTCCTAAAAAAGGGAAGGAGGAGCCAACTGAACAAAGAAAACCCTGGGCAATTACACCCTTAAGACTCTTCACCTGCCCCCTCATGTGACACTTTGATCCGACAGTAGTATTTGGGTCTGAGATCTTCTTGTTCCTCATTGGGTCTGAAAAATTATTCTGGTCTGACATCATTTGACTTCTTGTTGAATTACTTCACTGTCTCCAGACAGGCCGTTATCTTGTCTAGTTTCAGCTGCTGTTGATGGCTGTAGCCTTAATGCCTCCTTATCGTCTGATTTACACAGGTTCTGGAGGCCCCATTTTGACTAAGTGGGTGTATGTTCAGTAATCTAAGTGGAAATTCACAGCTTGTGGCCTAAGGCATCAGCAAATCTAACTATGCATGCTAAATAAGTAAAGCTAAGCAAACAGTGTACTAAATCACACAACATTATAATTCTAAGTGATTCATTATGTTTAAAACTCACTTATTTAAGCTAAACGAGTAATATCTCTTAATATTGAGAGGCATCCCTGCTCAAGGGGAGAGTTGCCTGGCAAGTAGTCCAGTTGCTGTCCAGGGAGAACTTAAATTAGGCTCATCCACTGTTGGTAAAAGATCTCATTGCTAGAGATCACCACCATGCAGCCACACTGCCTAGCAGGGAGAGCTCTTAAATTCTTTGTGATAGGTAGTAATTGACTTCAGCATGCTCTAGCAGTTGCCATCTGTGGTATTTCTCACTTTCTTAAGAGGTTGGGATCTACATTTGCAGGAGAGAGAAGCAATCTGATCTGCAGCTGAGGTCAGTACTTTGACCATATGAAGCATTGTGGCCCTGCAAGTGTTATGAAATCAATCACTGATGTTTCTGAAGTCTCCAGATATGATACTGATGTGCTCTACACACAAAAAAAACCCTAGAGGAAATCAAAATTCCATCTTTAGAATACAGTTTGAATAGCATGCCATTTATATGTGATGGAGCTACATATTAAAGAGCAAGGAAAGTTATTTTGAATAGCTGCTTATTCATTGTGCATCTGTTATCTTGATTTAAGAATACAGAATGGTGAAGTTAACTGTGCAATTTAATAAAGTTCTTTTAATGGAGGGGTTTGTATGTTCGTGTCACTTTCTAAGCCTTTAAAAATAACAGACTGCAAGTATGTTTTACCAGTAACGTCTGTGATCCATCAGCGACATCTAAACCATTAAATCAGTTGCCGAATGTAGGAGCAGTGTTGGAATAACTAGCAGTAGCAGTTCCTTGATGTAAGCTAGAACACGGGATGCTTTCGCAGGTAATGACTGACAGCTGATGTAGATATTGGGTGGAATTGAAGGTTCTTTTGAGTTCTTCACAACCCTAGGGAGGCCTACATAGTAGCAGGCAGGAGTCTTCTGCCTGTTTCTCCAAGCTTGATGTCTTTTGTCCAGTTCCATCCAGTACGAATCCTCTAGTGCCCATTATAGTCTCTTTTTTGGGGGTATGAACCCCCCAGTCTTCTGTTGCAAGGCTGTCACCTTCATGCCTTTGGTCTCGTACTTGTCACTCCACGCTACTTCTAAGGATCTTTGCCTTTTGTTTCCTTCCCCAAAAGGTATAATTTACCCTAATTTATCACAATATTTTTATCTCTTACCTTGTGCTTGTTGCATAACCTTGCTGTCCTTCCTTCGCCCTCCAGTTTCAGGTGCTTGCTCTAGTCACTTTGCCAAGCTGCTCTAGGTCACCATCCAAATCAAAGCTTCTTGTTTCCCTTCTTCCCTGCATTTTCCGTTTCAACACCCCCATCAGACAGATCAAAACAGACCTAGGTTGGTGAGCCAAATGATGTTGTTCTACCTTTAGACAGCAAAAAAATTGTAACAAAACACTGTTTGTCATGTTGAGTATGTCTTCTGGGTATCGGGCATTTCTCTGCTCGGTCCCAGGATACACAAAGGTGAGACTGTAGCTTCTGTAATGTCTGGATATTTCAGAAATTTTGACATAGGATAAAAACAAATTAGAATTTACATGATTTTGTGTAAACAGTATACATCACCAGTTACTAAAAGTGTGGCTATTCTGTTTTCTCTTGGGTCAGTTTATCAGTGCTACAGTGATTTAGAGAGTGAAACCCATTTTAGTTGCTCATCTTCTCTCCTTCCATGCATACTTCAATCTGCTGAAAATCATTGGTGTTTTACTAAAGGATTAGTAACTTCCCTACCATCCGTCCCCACCTGGATACCAAGTGTCTCTTCAAATCCAGTAGGGAGAAAAATCCGTGAATATGCACATCCAAGCTTTTATACACAATACTGTTATCAAAGAAAGGTTGGCAAGGATTTGAAACTGGTTTACAAAAAGCTAACTTCATCTCTGGCTACTAAGCATTACTACTGTATAATCTAAACCAAATGTAAAATCAATACGATGAGTTACGTGCTTTAATGATTTATTTCAGTTGTCTTACTTGAAAGTCCAAGTCGGCTTCAATTGTTTTATTTATGTGTTAGCACTTAGCACATTTGGAGATAAGAGAAAAGCATTTTTTACTAGAAAGATGAGATACTGTCACTCCTGCTGCAGGTGATTTATCGGAGTTATTTGTTAAGAATAAAAAAGAACTTTTATATTCTGTATACGTTGTTCTCACAGATAAGCGTTTGCAAAAGGTCTGTATCACTGGTCAGAAGGAGTTGTGTTGATATGCAGCTCTTAATATATGTCTAGAACAGTCCTTTGAATCAAAACAAGTTTCCCTGAGAGACTGTGATAATTATTGTTTCAGGCATGTGTGTGTTGCAGATTGAGAGGGGTTATTTGGAAACTCGAAAAAAATTAATCCTGTTTTCTTCTTGTTTACGCAGAAGGTGAAAGAGCTTTACCATCAATACCAAAGTAAGTTTTATGCTTTCTTTTCTTAGTTTCCAAAAATGTTTTGAAAAACAGTTTCGCTTAAGTGACGCTTTAGCCATTTTTTATATGCGTTTAATTTTTATTGTTACTTTTGGATTCTGGGACAAGTAGCAGGTGGTGATTTGAGTCCATGGGGCATAAATGACTGACAGAAGTATTAAACGATAAAGATACCAGAAATAAAATCTGAGGAAAAAAGTGCATAATGCATCTATCATATTTGACAGTAACAAAAGAAAGATGATTTGGAAAAGACTTGACTGGGATTCAGGCTATTTTTTTGGAGTCCGTGAGTACATTTAATTATAGGAGTGATGCTAAACCATTTTTGAATTTGGTTTCAATCTGTGAGTCAGTCTATGCACTTGTTTTTCCTATTGGTCCCCTTTGCTGCTTATGTGAAATACAGAAAATATTCTTTTTGTCCTATCATAGATCTGTCATATCGCCTTTTGTTAATAAAATTTCCCTAATGGGCCCAGTCCGAGTTGGGATCTGTGGGTTGAGTGTATTAAAGAATAGCATTTAGATAGCAAATACTTTTAAATCTTTTTTTTTTTTTAATGTAGTAATATAGAAAAACTTTTCTCTGATAGTAATTGTGGATTTGTAGAAAGTGCTAATCTCTGTGAGGTGAAGAGAGCTGCATTTTCTTTCTCTGGCTAGTTTTATGGTGATACTGTACCCAAGGTATGCTGAGACATGCTGTCTGCATCTGATAATTCTTACATAAAGTATGCTAAGATAATTCTCTGCATTTTTCTCCTTTCCAAGCTTTAAGGTAAATAAGAAAAGATCTCTAATTTCTCTCTGTTTGAACTAAGAACGCTTATGCAGTGGGAGTTGGTAATCCATAATGCAGTGGTAGGCAAGCCTAGTGATTCTTCCAGCTTATTCTCTGCCCTCCTGGTGTCAGTGGCTAGATCTCCATCCAGCATGGCAAGTTGTGATGGTTGTTTCCCCTTTCCATGTGCAGTTTCTTAATTGTGGCCTCCTAAAATTCAGTCTTTTAACCAAGCCACTTTTTTTTTTTTTGCTTTTTTGCCATCTGACTGTTTTCTCTATAGCCACGTCTGGACCAGTTTAAATATTATCATATTATTTTCCTTGAACCTTACCCGGCGGTGGCACCAGTGTCCAGTAGATCAAATGTAATTCAGCAGTTTATAGTGTCTTTTCTCTTTCTTTTTACTTTGGGACACAGGATCTGTGCCTACTTTGATCCAGCCACCTCATTCTGTTTGTTCCTTGATTCCTGGAAGGAGTCCAGAATTATTATGATTCTTAACTGTTTAACTATTGGATGGAGTATGGAACACAATTTTTTCCTGAATCTGCAGGAAACCAGCCACGTAGATACTAGTGGTTGCTCTTCTGTGCAGGTCCTGCTGCAGTCCTCGCTAGCCAGGTAGCCTTCTCACAGTGCAGAAAGAGAGGAGATAAAATGCAGAGAGGAAAAGGAAATGGAAGTTGAGGCTGGAAGCAGTAAAGTTGGTAAACTTACTATGCACTCATATAGAAAAGGAAAATTTGGTTTTACTTAAATAGATGCAACTGAGAAACACGGAATAACTTTCTAATTACATAAAGTTTATCCTTTTTTTATTTGTAGGAATTTCTGGGATAAAATAAGGTTTGAAGGAAAAGGCTTCTCATTTTTGGGACAGTTTACCAAACCTGAATTTGTACAGTTGAGTCTGTTTAAATGAGGGCACCACATACGCTCTTAGTCTGGCAGCAGAGGAATGGGCTGTCAAATACATACAACTACTAGCGAACAGCATCTTGTATGTGGAAAGATTTGCCTTTGCCAGATGAAATTCCAGATTTCTGAAAGCGTGAAGGGCAGTACTCTCTTACCATTAAAATTGTGTTTATATCTGTACGTGAAAAAATTTTAGAACTCACTCACTGGAATTTCTTATGCTAATGAACATCTATGCTTAACTACATTTAAATATAATTATTTTTCTTTGTTTTCTTGTCATGTAAATTTATTTAAAATTGTCATGTAGGATAAGTCATCTTGCAGACAAAAACTTAATTTATATTTTATTTCCAGTAGATAACACAGAAAGTAGAAGCACCGTCAGACTACATACATTGACAATGTTCAGATGCACACGGCTTAATCTTAAGTTTGTGAAACTTAGAATTCTTTTTTTATCTTTAAATTTGTTCTGTCGCTGTGAATCAATACGCTAATTAAAACGGTCACACATTCCCTTCACTCTCACTCCCCCGGATGGGTTTGAAATGGTAGATTCCTTTCTGACTTTTCTCCCCCTCAACATCTGTCACTGTGGGAAATGGACTAGCCCTGCTAATTACAGTAGGTGCCCTGTTAGGATGAATTCCCAGTGTATGTGACCGTGAAGAATGTACAGCATTCAGCGATTCCAACCTCTCTTTTACAGGCTGGCCAACAATGAGAAGCAAGGAGTAAGGTCACACACAGTCTCTGTGTCAGGTAAGGCTCATGAAAAAAATAAAAATGCTGGTTTGTTTATAAAGCTAGCAGATGTTCAGGCCAATTTTGCACTTGCAGTTAGCTCACTTCTTCCTACATGGCTATTGACTTTCCCAAGACCGTAGCTTTGTAGTGCAGCTTCTAAAGAAACTTTCTGCAGCGATCCTACGTAGTGTCGCTTGCGAGAACAGCCCTATCCGTGCAGTAACGCAGGGCCAGAATACTTCAAAGCAAGGCTGCTTGTCAGTATTTTCGCGTTGCTTTGTAATGAAGTACATATTGTGGGCTAGAATTTAAGTTACCTGACTACGTGTTAATTATGAAGGAGCAGCTTTGAAAAGTGAAAATAGGCAATTAAATATTAATCATTGCTTTTCGGAAAGAAGAAACTTAATAGCTATTTTTTTGTAGCTGCTGTTTAGATCAAAGCACTTAATTTTTGCTGTTGAAAATCACGAGTTAATTGAAGGCTGAGCATGTGAGGTAATACATGTTGTTTCCATAGCTTATAGGCTTCTAAGATTTCTGTTAGTTACTGTGGGTGTTTTACGTTTTTATACTTGAGAGAACATTTTTCTTTTACAGAATCTTAAAACAAATCCTTACGAGGTATTGATTCAGTGTCTTAGTAGAAAATACATTTCTAAATCCTTATACATACTATTTATTAAGGAGTTTTTCATGTGAAAGTGTATTAATATTATGATATGTTCCTATAGATTTCTAGTATTTGGCCATGAACTTAAGGAACCAATACTGTGACCCAGTGGAGTGTCAACCCCTGACTTACAGGGAGGCCACAGCCCCACTTTAACATCTGTGTGAGCACTTAGGGGCACATACTCACATATTTCATACAAGAAGGAGGGAAGATATGTAGATATTTGATTAATTTCCTGCTTTTAGATTTCCTTTCCCCACCCTTAACCTTTTTTTAAAGCTGTTTGAGATACACCCCTTGACATAGGAAGCCCAAGTAAACAGACCTTATGCAAGAAAATAGATGAGAAGATCTGGAATTAAAATGTGTGTCAAGCTGCAGAGGTGTAATAGAGCTTCATCAGTTTCTATTACCTCTCAGAGTCAAATAGCAGCTCTTCTTCCTTTTGTACCTAGCAAGCAAGCATGGTAGATAAGCATGAAGCATGGTCAGCATGTTCTGTCTTGATTCTTGACCTGTGTGGCTCTTTTTAGCTCTTAGAAAAACTTGCAGTTGATTAAGTGGTGAATGCTGTGCTTTTTAATCACTCCACTCACACAAAAAATGCTAATCTTCAGGACAAAAATAGTCATATTCCCCTGCCACCTCAAATTTTCACCCTTTCAATTCTTCTAGGAAACCTGATAGCCTTTTACTATTAAAAGCAGTAATAAATGCTTACTTCATGATCCTTTATTGCTGTGACTTTGACTTTGCAAATTTAGGTATCTTTTGCTTCATGCATTATATCTGAAGTACTCTTGGTCTTGGAGCACAAACTCGCTTCTTCTCTACTCGAAGTAGTGATTTGATATTAATGTAGGGGAATTAGTTTTAATACCATATAACTGGCATTTAGGGTCTCACATAAAGGTGAATCACGGGCAAATGAGACCTTTGCTGTAGCACTGCAGGAGAAATAGGAGTAGCAGGGCTGGAGATGAGCTGGTTGTTCAAGTGAATGTCAAGGAAGCTGTACGGCGTAAAGCTGGCTCCTGATGCCATAAGCAAAACAATACAATTAAACCAGAAAATGTCCTTCTCTTTCTTTCCAGTATCTATGTCAAAACCATTTAGGTACTTTTCTTGTATTGTAGTTAAGGTTTTATATCTTTCCACAATGAAATCATTGAGCTTGATGCTTGTTTTTTATACCGTGTTACAAACCACTGGAAACACTGACATAATGCCGGAATGATTCAGGCCGTTGCATTTATTACTCAGTCTCAAGGGTTTGTCCTTCTTTTAATATAAGGGTACATAGAACACAGACATCCTTTTTTTGTTGTTGGGGTTTTTTTGCCCCAGAATTATTTGAAATGCATCGAGTGTGGCATGGATGTCAGTGTATTAAATTTAAACCACGGACAGATTGTTGAGATGGAAGTTGTGTGATAAGGGTTTTTCATTGGGAGGTGCTTTGTGTAAGAATCTCTTGAGTCCCCAAAGGAATCAACTTGTTAGAAATGGAGTAATACTTCATGTAGATGTGAAGAAGTGTCACTGCTGTTGTCAGGTGTAACTGATCCATCAATGTAGAACAAGGGAGGCAACAGATGTATGTAATGTTCAGTTAACCCGAGAGTTACAGGTCAGCAGAGGCTGACAGCTGACGGCATCCAGCGCAACGCCAGCTGTGGCTGATGCGATCTTGGTTTGCAGAATAAGAGCTTTTCTCTGGTGACATTTAAATGACTTAGAGCTAAGGACTTCGAATAAGACAAGCTTTTATGACTTACTGACAGCTGTAACATCCTTCATGCCTTTGATAGTTTAAATCATAAATTAACTCCGCTGTTTGTTTTCAGTGAGATCGCTTTCCTTTGTTTAGACCTCTCCCCAGGCTAAAGCTAAATAGCAACAGTCCGAGACAGACATTCAGCAGAAAAATTAAGTAGTCAGACATATTCGTAGTATTAACACCCTTAACAGTTTCCCAGTGAGTTCCCCATCATGATTTGGGGAAAACAGCAAGAGCCAGAAACCAGTGTGGAACATGATTTGGTGGTCTAAAAGTTCAGGTATTTGTCTGAAGTTTTGTAGGTTAAAAAATGAGCCTGTTAATGAAAGACGCCTTGTCTGTCTTTTTGCAATATTTATTAACATACCTTGAAATATTTCTGGTCTAGTGAAATGAAAACTTGTTCTTTCCAAGTGTTTCAATATTCCAAAGCATACAAAGATAGAAGGTTTTTAAATACTTCTTTTTTTTCTTTTTTTTTTTTTTGCTCTAAATAAAGGCCTTTTCAAACTAGTGAAGGGTGAAGTTGGTTTCAGGAATCCAAAGCAGCAGATTGCTGGACCTGGGAGCCAAGAAGTGTTCTCTTACGGCTGTGTGTCACTGAACCAGGTTTCACCACACACCTCTTACTGCATGCTTCTGTTTCTGTTTCCTCCGGTATTATTTGTCTGCCTCGCTGCTTCAGATTCTGTGTTCCTTGCAGTGGGCACTGTCTTTCACTGTGTGCAAGTAAGACGCCTGCCAGATTTCTCCTGGGTTTTAAAGCATAGTAATAATTTTATCCCTCAAATTTTATATTTCCGTGTGTGTAGGATTATAAATAAATATAAATAAGAAGTGCAATTAAATGAGTTGGATTTTAGATTTTATTGGTATACATCTGATGTTTTGGTTTAAGTTACTGTGATTCACCAAAAGCAATATTTCAGCTAATAGAGGGTTCCAACTTTTATCTCCTTCTCCCTCTACTTGTGTTTTTACGTTAAAAAAGAATTCTTTGTACTTAGCCAAGACTGTACACTCAGGAAACAGTGAGGCTATACTATATGCTCTGTGCAAATAGTATATCAAATTCATAAGAAGCAGCAGACCAGTTTATGATAACTTTATTGACTAAATTTCCTGCTGTTTTGCTTGGAGTCACCTTACTAAAACGCTCTACTGTAGTGTACAGGAACTTACTTTGGCCAGCAGTTTGTTTTGAAATAGTAAACATTAGTCTTAGTGAGGTGGTGCATGTATTTCCTGAGACGCATATTTCCAAAAATAATAATTTACCCAGTCAATTATGTATTATAAAAAGTTCTTCATAAAATGAAATCAATAAAGCTGTAGTTTACTTGCTCCCTTTTTACATAAATTCTTTCTGACACAGAGGTCCTTGGTTTCTTCTGCCCCATCCTCGCTTACATAAATATGACTAGGAAGAATAAATATGCTTTTGCATCCCTCAGCTGGTCGCTTTGCCTCCTTTGCACTAGAGAATTCCGTGGACGTGATTTTTTTGAATTGTAGCTCAACCAGTACTTTACATGCCGTGCTACAGAGTTTGACATTTCAGGCCCACTTGCTTCAGCAAGTATTGAACAAGTCTTGGCAAAGTTAGGTTCTTGGCAGTGTTAGGTTTACGGTCAGACTCAATGATCTTAAGGGTCTTTTCCAACCTGAATGATTCTGTGATTCTAAGCATTGACTCTTGGCATTTGGATATTCAGGTACTGCTGAATAAAATAACGTGTTTGGGAGGAGGGAGCTGTAACTGGAAAGATGACAGTAGGGAAGAGGATGAGCCATTCTGCAGGAGCCAGCACAAGGCGTGTGCCTGAAAGGGGTTTTTAGGGCCTGCCGCAGGGTTGATCTTGGTTCAAACTGAGTCCTGGTTTTGCAGCTTTAGTATGTGCTTATTTGGTGAAAGAAATTGTAAGATGTTTAAAAATATGGTCGCTATTTCAGACGTTAAGGCAGACTGTTCAGGTCATCTAAGTAACAAACTCGAGGACACACACGCCTTTAATAGGGAGATAGGTGTTTTAAAGAGAAAATTGTCACGTTGTTCACTAGCTGACACGGCTGTTGTTACCAGCACAAGTAGCGTTTTGAAGTCAAAAGGGGTGTAGCTGTAAGTGCATGGTAAGATGATGGCATAAGTTTCTGATAATGCTGCTGTGCCATTGTTTCTCTAGAGAGGAAAAAAAATTTTTTTTCCTTACAGTGACTCTAAGAAGTTACAACTGCACCGCATGATTTAGATCTGTCCAGTAACATGCACTGCAAAGGAGAAATTGGATCTCTTGCAGAGAGCTTTCTTATGGGAACTGAAGGATTTTAGCATCCTGAAAGAGGGGCTTCTCAGCGAGTTTCCAGGTTCTGCCTTAGAATCACAGATTCATAGTATATCATTGCACTTAAATCACATACTGTGGTTAACTCCTGATCGTGGCAGCAAAGTGGCATGGGAGTTCTTCTCTAAGGTGCTACTGATGAGCAGATCTTGAGTTTGAGGGAGTTGCCAATTTAGTCATACCACTTAGCTGAAATTTCAATTCAAATGAAGAAATT